TACGACTTGAAAAATAAGGTAAAGAAGGTTTTAGGGAGAAAACGACCGAAAAAGAGAGAGAGTAAGGGGGTTTAGAAAGGAATAGAAAAATGATGTCTTTTGAACTTTTGTTTGGGCTAAAAAGATGGAGTAAAGTTGGTCCAAGGGTTTAGGAGATACAATACATGGGACCTCTATGCCGCCTGATATGTTTTGAAACCTTGGGTATGTTGAGAAATGAAACCTACAAAAAGGGTGTACGGATATTCCCAAATTTTTTTAATCGTTTTTGTAGGATTATTGTTGCAATGGAAAAAAAAATATATCATTTAGTATTTTGAGAATGTATAAAAAATATCATCTACTAAATTAACTAAATTACTTTTGCATTGCCACTTTTGGCCCACACAGTTTTATTGTATTATGTGGGAGTACTAAATATTTTTTAGAAATTTTATTAAATTATTAATTTTAAGAAAATGTATCCATTAATTTAAAAACCATAAGGAACGCACTCCCGACTTAAGTAGCTTTTTGCATGTCGATCCGTCACTCCTGCTACCGCACCGCTCCGCTCCAAGCAACTACATTCCACAATGTGATAATGAAAGTGCAATAGCCACTTCCATGAATCAAGGGCTTCATGGAAAAACCAAACACATTTAGAAAGATCAACACTTTGTGAGAGAGAAATTTGAAGACAAACATAGTTGTAGAGTTTGTTAAGACCAATGAAAAAGTGGAGATTGTTTGCCCAAGCGAAGACAAACTTCTAAAGGACAAATTGTCCATGTTTGTTGCTAAGGTATAAGTGAAAGAGGCATATTACGGATATCACATGCAAGGACAGACTTGTAAATAGGATGCAGTTTCTATAAGGCCTACACATTATGAAAACAAAACAAAGCCTCACCTCAAATCCTCGTCCAAAAAGCACTTGGGAATCAGAAATCACCATGATGGCTCTAAAATCAATTTCCTACACTAACTATGAAATTTGAAGCTCAGAAAATGGTACAGATCTTGTGAATCTGTAAACATATATTTTTAGGGCGAAATGGACGGTCTAGATATTGTGTTACAATATACAATATTTTTAGCACTTGAAATACTAATTTTTTTCACAACCATAATGATCCAAGTCGACATGATCGAGTTGAAGGTTTTCCAACGCCAATATTGCAATCTTCAGTGAGTTTTGAGGTGAAGCTTTACTTATTTTGATAGGGTTGCAGCCCTGATCAAACCATGTTCCTTTAAATAAGACATCTATGTTTGCCTTATTTATTTTGTACTCGTATATAATATTTGATATGGCAATGGGCATATAGCATTGTTTACAATATACAGACATGAGGACATCCAAAACCAATTAGATTAGATTAGCTTTGGATGATCCATTGCAGATTCAGCTACTCTACTTGTGCATATTCTGTATCCTCTTATCCTGCCTTTCAAAACCATTGGTGGTCAACAAACCCAGTTAATCCACAATTACAAACACATTCCACTATTAATACCCCAAAATTAATGACGACCATGTGCCATCCATTACAGATCTTTCATGAGTTTGTATGTCAAAACTTGCCTGACTAAACTAAATACTTCTACTGCAAGATCAACATTTGAGGCAACCTAGAACACATACTGTAGGAAAAACATCATACCATGTTGAGTTCTTTGGTGAAACTTTCTATCATGATAGCTGCCTCCTACACTTTCTTTCAAGCTTTAACAGAGCTCTTATTTCCTCTTTCAAAATATATGATCTTTCCAACCACATCATGAGCCCACCAAAGCAACTCCATCAAACAAACCACCCCTCTTAAATAAATAGTGGCTAGTATAAACATGACGGTATGTACATTATGTACCTGCAGCCAAAAATGATCTACAGTTGAGACCAGCCCTACGTGCAACTTGGGCAGAATCCCCTAAAGGGACAACATGATAAACCATGCATTTCCATGAAGGAAAAAAAATGCATTTCCATAGAGTGCCCCTTAGTGCACAACATTTATTTTTCACCATACAGATACTCTATCCGGTGATCAAAAACTCCCTGAGTTCAACTCTGGACTTCGATGAGCCAACTCAGCTTGGAAACCCGGTTAAAATTGCCGAGTCTTATGACAGTCAGCTGAGTCTTATCCTTAGTTACCGAGATTTCGTAAGATGGGTGGGGATCCCGCTCAGTGAATGTGATCCTAGGCCCTTGGAGCAGGATCGTGGTCCTATCATGATCCCATGTTGGGGAGGGTGATCCTAAATCAATATGAGTTTGTCAACAGGTTAGCACACCATACATATATTTTTAAAGAAATAGAAGCAATAATGCAGATCGACTAAAAAAATTAAAGAAATAAATGCATATCCATCAAAATACGAAAGTAGTAAGTGCATATCAGTAAAAAAGAAAGCCACAATTATTGCAATCCATGTTTTGTAAAGTTTTCAAAGGAAAAGAGATTCTTAAGTTTGCATCAATCCTAAAAAGAATGTTTTAAACCCAATGCTCCCAAAATCACGTTTGATGTAGAGAAATGATGGGTCCAACATTTGTCACAAATGGTCATGAGATATGTATGTTTCTGTGTGTGTGTTTATTCAGGCTTATCGACCCCATGTGTTAGGTTTCTCCATTAAATTGACTTAAAGGGGTGTAAGTAAAGAAAAGGGCATGACTTGCATATGATTTGACTAAAATACTATCCTTTATTATTATTATAAATTTAAGATTAAATAAATATCATTTTTTGGAAGAACGGTCAAATAAATATCTTTAACATATTATTGTGAAGAACTTATATATGAGAAAAGTAAATAAATATCAGCTATTACTCTCAAATTTTATTTAAGTAATTTATTGTAAGTATAATTAAATATAATTCTAATATTTGCAATTAATTTTCATTTATTTATTCTAAGCAACTAATTGCATTTAAATATTTGCAAAAACCTTTGTGATTAATCTTTCATTTATTTAATTGTTCACTAGCTTTATATATTTATTGTTAGGGCACCCTCATGGGGCTCCAAAACAAGGGAACTCCTAACAAACAAGAAACCCCCACAACTGCCTCCAACAAGTATCGTATCTTAGAACTACTGGTATGCAAGGCGTGATTTCTTTTCATGTTAGATACACAAGTCCCTCTTGTCAGCCATTGACAAACGCATCTAAAATTTAAGACATGCACACATACTTCATATTTTAGTGTGTCCAAAAATATGGGCACATGTGCCAATGTTCAAGACGTGGATCTCTACATTAGAGACATGTTACTGATTTTTTTCAACTTTCTTAAATAAAATGTTAATATTATCTAGAAATACGTAGAGACCCATATGTACACACATGGCACCTCTGAGTGTGTGCGTTTGTATTTAAGATGTCCCATTTCGTTTACCACTAAAAAAAGAAAAATACAATGTCAAATCCAAAACAGCGTCAAATATGGTATTGAGTCTATGGTTTTCAAAGACACAGACACATGCTGATGCCCCTGTGAGCAAAATCCATCCCCCCCACCCCCCTGGGGCCCAGGGGCCTGAAATCACATCAAGAACATGGGGAGCCATCTCCGGATCTGTCCCAAGGATATATCATATCTCCCTCTTTCCACTTCTCCATGTGAAGAAACTGGACTGTTCATATCAATCTCATTCTCCCCATCCTTCTCAACATTTCAGATCCTAATTCCCACTTGATCAATACTTATTCACTCTAATACCCATTATTTGTGCCTAGGTGCTTCCTACTCTTTAAATTACGCATTAACGCATCTTCCAATCTCTTTTCCTTCCGGTCCTTTTGTTCCATATTAATTCTACCAAACATTCCATATTAATTCTACCAAACACTATCCCTAGACAAGCCCAGAACAAGAGTAGAAGATGCAGCTCCCACAATCCACATGACACGGAATCCTAAGAAGCAAATTAAGCACCCTGAAAATGTAAAATAAAGAACAGAAACAACTGTAGTTAAATTCCAGGCCACAAGCATTCCACCAATCCAGTGAGGCTGCACAGAAATACAGTGTGATCATATTTAAACACACAAGAGACAGATATATTGTGCCTCAAGTATCCCTGAAGTATTATGAAATTTGTCTCTTTTGATTTTTAAAAAGGTAAGTGAAGTCTCCAAAAATGGTTCTTCTATCCCGAATCCCTATATATTGTATTCAGCATGAGCATAGAAAGAAATTTAGAAGCTAGACTAAATGACAACTAACACACAGCTCCCTGCCCAATGTAATAAATACACTCAAGGAAACTGTAGAACCACCAAAACCATGTGGACAAATTAGCCATATTTCATTTTGAGCCATAATTAATTCTGGTGTTAACTCCCATTAGCAGAATTTTGCTATCATGCTAACCATGAGATATATCATAAAACAAAGACTTTAGCATCAAAGTGTTCAACACCTAGTCCATAGAAAATATGAGTAAGGCACCAGTCAAAGTGTGGCAACATACAAATGCCATAAACAAAATTTTAGCTCAACCAAAATAGATGCCAAGCTTACCTTGAGTGCTTCAAGATACTCAACCAGGTCATTTTCAAAAGCAGACTGTTTGTTGAGATCTTTCTCGTCTTTCCATGGGAAGTCTTGCATCCATAATCCTTGAGTTTTGTTGTTCCAGTCAACGTAAATTAAATTGGCAGTGTGTACGACAATACGCACCCCTCTAGGGTAAACAAGAATCATAGCTTTCGAATGGTGTGTCCCATAAGAAATAGGTAGAGGTGGTTTGTGCAGAATCCAACTTGAAGGCTTCGTCTTCTGAAAACAGTAATTAACTGCATTAAAGTTTCAACTAAAACGAGAAAATAAACCAAAAAAGAAAGATTAATAAAGATTTGAAGGATCCAATACACTCATTTGATCCAATGCACCACCGCTTTCTCCATGAACCACAAGAACATGAGATATCCTTTTTAGCATAGGGCAGGCTACATAAACGAAACATCATTCAGTATTTACTCATGCACAGGGATTGCCATAGTTAAACAAAAAACAAAAATGCGAGCAAATCAATCACAATAAATCACATGAACTAGAGAACTAACGCAAACTTAACAATGATAGAAGCATTTGCATTAATGAACGCTGTAGATCAGGAACTGTGCATTTTATGTTTCCATACAAAGTAGTTCACTAGTGCAAAGGAAAGGAGCATTTGCATTAATAATAGTAATACTTTAACTACAATATGCTTTTCTTTTTTTGTTCTTTGTGATATTCAACAAAAATGTTTTTCAATATCTAATAAAATGTTGACATCTGGGTATATACAAGAATAGATGTACATTCCCATATTGCAGTTATACAGCAAAAATGTGGAGATCTCATTCCAACTTTTAAGAGCAAGAATAACAGGTTTGCAAGAGCATCAACATTTTCTGTATACCTGTAAAACAATGGCCCACATCAATTATGATATCATCTTATAATAGTATATCAAAGAGAAGAATGAACCAGCAAGTAATCTTGTCAGTTATACCAGCTAATCAAGAAATAACCCAAGAGTCGGATCATTCTTGCCATGGCATCAACTAGGGGAAATTGGTTCTTTCTGCAACAGCATCAACTAGGGGAAATGGGTTCTTCAACCAAGAATGAACCTCCTTAGTTACTAGATATGTCGCAGTAGAGAGCCTTTGATTATAAACACTAGCACCATATTAAGTTACAACCATTCTGGGAAAATGCCTAAGAAATCAACAACTTAATGTTTCGATTTCATGGCATATACCCATGTCACTCCAAGCTGGAAACAAAGCACCAAACAAAGAGAAACAAGAGAGAAACCCACCCCAAACATAAAAATATGTGAATCAGTTAACAAAATCTCATTTTGAGTCGGTAAAACTCTCCCAGGTTCAGTCAACTCATCAAGGGGAGAGTTTTACAAATGAGAACTTGGGATGTATTTGATTTTTCCCTTTAATATAGTTTTGGGCATCGTTACCAGGTTCTCCTAACCAAGGGATGACCCAGCTCCGAAAATTCGCTCCTTCAGTCCAATGGGGATCTCGCTCCCTGCAAATTTTAAAGTTTGGGATCTTGACCCTTCCCATTAGTGGTCAAGATCCTGAGTTACATGGGATCCAAATTGCTTTGCATCATATATGAGGGTTCATAGGTAAACAAAACCATGGTTCCACCCAAATTGGGATCAAGATTTCCTGAGTGGCAGGCAGTATTGGGCCCACTTGCCCTCTTTAATAGGTCACTGAACTCAGTAAGCTGACTCAGTTTTGGCAAGAACAAAGCTGCACTTGAGCTTTTAAACACTTCTATTAAAAGATCCATTACATGGCTTCTTATAGGTAAAAATATGGAAAGATGAATCTATATGCCTGTTTAACTCCACCAACATATCCCACTTGAACCAAAGATGTTGGTCTGACTCTAGAACCCTACAATATATGCACCTTTTCATATTCAGGTGCTAACCCAAACAAAAGCCCACAACCACTTTGGACTTTCAGATGCGTCAACCAATGTTCAAAAAGGCGGAGGCAGCCACCTAAGCGACCAGGGGCCTTGATCGCCTAGCGGGCAGGGTGTCAAGGTGGGTGGCATAAGTTGTTTTGTGTGTGTTTTATGAATGTGCATGTGCGTAGTGTGTGCACACGTGAGCGCCAGTGCGTGAGGCCTCGCATGAAATTCTTAAAGATCATCCACTCTTTTTTTTTCTTGGATCCACGGTCGTGAGAGAGAGATCCTGGACACTTGGAGGCTCGATCTTCTTTTTGCTATTCTAATATGTCGAGAGAGAGAGAGAGAGAGAGAGAGAGATTGTGAGAGAGAGAGACCTTGCATCGAACACTTAGAGGTCATCTTTTCCTTTTTCTTTTTCTTACAAGGGAAGAGGGAGCATTGGGGACCATGAGTATCTGTGGGTGTGGGTGTGTGTGTGTGTGTGAGAGAGAGAGAGAGAAAGAGATAGAAAGCCCGCGCATCAAACATGTGGAGGCCATCTTCTTGAGTTCTTCTCATATGTAGAGAGCACACGGGCCACAGAGAGAGAGAGAGAGAGAGAAGAGCATTTACATAAGCCTGAATTTTTGTTCGGGCTGATTTTTTATTTTTTTTAAATGGGTGGCACTAGGTGGGCACCCAAACCCGCCTTGAGCCTGCCTAGGCAAATGCCTTGGGCACCTACCCATCCCACATTAGGCATGCCCTCCCAGCGTAGGCAATTTGTCAGCCAGGCCACCTAGGCGGTCGTTTCATCATTGGTCACTATGGATGGAACCAGTACTCAATTGTACAGCCAATAAACTTCACGCAAACCAGTGCTTGAAAAATCGCCGATCCGGATCGGAATTGCCCATCCGGATCAGAATTGCCCGATATATATTGAGAACCGCTATGTCCCCCTATAACCGGCCGATTCGGGCCGGTTTGTACCAATTCTCTAGTTGGTTTTGTAAAAGAGAACCAGACAATTCTACAGGGAACAGGTTTTCATTTGAAAACTGTCCTTTTTCCCTTTGAAATTCTCAAATGTTTTTGTCCTTTTGAAATTTTTAAATGCTTTTGTCCTTTTGAAATTAAAAAGTAGATGTTACATGGCCCACACCACATTTTAATATTTCATGTTTTAATCTCTTTACTTTTTCAAGTTGTTAGTTTGTCCTTGCCATTCCATATGTAAGAGCCTTGCATAGTACTCTTTAAATTTGTTGGCCCTACTGCACCCCAAAGCTGCCACGCACGAGGACCTTGTGCATCAATCACCCCTAAGGAGGAGAAGCAATGTCTTTTATAGAACCCAATGCTTCTCCAAACCCACAATGTAGGATAATCGCCTCTCCTCTTCTCAACAAAGACTTCTTTTTTACGTAGAACATAAAAAGACTATGTGAATGATATTTCTAAAATAAAACACAATTTCATGTATCAAATCGAAAACTATATGAAAATAAAATAATATATAAACAAAGAACAAGAAAGCTTGAGGAAACAACATTCGAATTTTCAATGAACTCAAAACCGTTTTCAATATTTTGCTCAGATCTTGCAACTGCCCTCATCAAGCAAAGGAAGGCTGCTCGCCTATACTTAATGGATTGGCGCCACCTTTGTACACCTTAGGAAAGCATGCTAGAGCCTTTGCTTCCAATTTCAAAAAATATGACCATGTGAACAACTACTAAAAGAGATTCAAGGTCTAGACACAATAACTAAGGAGCAATAAATCCTATTTGCGCAGAGACTTGCATTTTAATGCAATAATAGAGTGTCTTTAAGTTTAACTTCCATGTTTTTCATTCACTTTCCATGTTCTTCAACATAGAGAAGATGTAAACTTAAACCCACAAGGAGTACCCACTCTCCCTGCCTCAACTTGGTGTGATTACAACCTTAGATCCTTTCTTGAGTCTTGTTTCATGTAGATACAGTGTTTATGGTTTGTTTGTCTATTATCAATACAATTTTCCTTCACATCCCAGGGAACTGCCTACCCAACCATCAGTCGGGTACAGTCCACCGATACACCTGTGTGTCTAGGTCGATCAGATCAGTGAGAAGGTGATAAGATCTGCAGCAACATGACATGGTCATGTAGTTTGATACCTAGAGCACAGATCTATACTGCAACCCTTCTATGATCTAGAAGAAGAATGATAAGATCTCGACGTCCCTCACTGCTACCATGGAAATAGTGCAAAGAAAAGAATGCTAGGCCCAAGACTAGATGGCATAAGAACAATTGAGAGAACGTGAACATTCAAGTTTCATTGGCCTTTCATTAAGTTATAGCATGTAAAAAATGTGCATGTTGTCCACATAGATATGTACAACTACATGGCTATCCAATACATGAGAGAGGTACAACAAATAACAAGAAACAAACAGATAAAAGACAAATGTAATAAAAAAGTCCCAGTGACTAAAATACCCCACTCATGTGCAAAAGTAAATGGAATATGCTCCTCAGATACATCGATAGATATCAACTAAGAAACATCATAGGTTGAGCCTCAAATATCATTTAATATAATGCCAATGCGCCTTTGAAGTGTACATTTTCTTTTAATTGGTAACTTTCATGTAAATAGAGCATAATTCCTTTGTAAATTACAGTTTCCCACATCTTTTACGATGTTTTCATATTTTTCACCAGATTATGTTATGACAACTCACGCAACAAGCAATCTATTTCTCATGTATAATGGACACATTGTAAGGCAAGAAATCCAAAATCTGTGAGTCCAAGTGAAATAGATCACACAAAAACATCTGAGAATACAGAATCATTTAAAACAATTAATGAAATTTAGAAGATGTATTCACCCCCTAAACTCACCAGATAGCAACCAGTCCAAGTCCACCATGTAATTCGAAAGGATGGCAAAGAGCACATTCCCCTACTACGAAACAAAGTAGAGATCATTATATGGTCGTTGTTATAGCAATCGATACTAAATAAAGCATGGTACTTCACATACAAATAAGATAAATTGAAACTTTGTAAGGTGTTGGAAAGATAGGAAACACAGTTCAATGACTATAACTATGTCATAAATAAACAATACATAAATAAACAATACAGTTCGAGACAATCAAAAGATCAGAGTTATTGCCCTTGTTCTTTATATACCAAAACTTGTGTCACAATAATCATGTATGCAAGAACCAGAATTGATCAAACATTCCAACTGGCTTAGACTGGAACAATACAGGGATATAGAGCCCAGTTCAAGGTCACCTCCCAAAGCTATTCTTATACAAAACAACTCAAATACTTGAATGCAATGCCTTTGGACATAAAATTACAGCAACATACCCCACACTTCAGCAACTTAATACACTTCAAATACACACGAAACACAAATACATGAATTTAAGATAGCCCTATGCCAATTTCCCACTCTTAAAACTCTATGGGGATTGAGTCAAACACAATACTATGTGACTATAACATAAAATTCAGCAACATACAAAAATTTCATGTAACATAAACTTGAATTATAAAACTTTGAATTACAAGACTTAAAAAAAAATATTCAATCTCAACTTACATAAACATGAACCAAATGTGTGCACTTAATCTAAAATCACGTGACGCCGAATATAGAGCTCAACTACCTGGTTTACTACCAAAGATTCAAATACACCCTTTGGATACGCCCACTACCAATAGCGCAAAATCTTATATCCAAGTTTAATGACATTAATGAGAATTAAGGATCATGAAGCATGAATCCACACAAGAATATTCAACTCAAAATAATCAAGAAGAGAAGGGGCAGATTAGAGGAAAATGTGGAAGCAAGATAAGTGGCATGCCAAAGCTAGAGTAGGCCCTATAATGTATATAATTGAAGCGTAGTCATGAGCAAATTTTGGTATAATGAGAGCTAGTAAAATTGAAGCTTTAACTATGCTAGGAATGACTTTAGCTTGTTGTTATACTCGTGAAAAATCCCAAGGGAATATCAGATAGAATTTCTCAAGGAAAACTAGTTCAAACTATGCCAAAATGAAGTAGAATGATCAAGGCATATGGGCTAATGAACCAGGTATGAACTATCAATGAAAACCTAAGTTAAAAGGATCAAATTGGATAAGTTACCTTGCTGGCATGAAATGTTTACAGCAAGAAGTAAGTCCTTGGAGAGGTGAAAACCTCAAAGCTCCAGCCTCATGGAAAGAGCATATACCACGGTTCTCATCACACACATGAAAACTCAAGAGAAAGAGGGGGGAGGTGTGCCTCACTATTGCTCTCTCTTTCTCTCTACCTTATCAAGGGAACAAGGAAAGGGGGTAGTGTGCCTACCAAGGCTCTCTCTGTCTATTTCAATTAGGTTGGTTGAAAAGGTGTGTCTAAAATCGGATCATTGATTAAGGACTTCAAGATGACTAAATTTGGATCATTGATTAAGGGCATCCAAGGGGTGAACAAAAGGCTAGGATCCTAGCTCCTCATCTCACACAATGATCATATTTGTGGATGAGATTTGCCACACCTTTATCCCCTCAAACTCTAATTCATTAAAATTTCCCTCTGAAATTTAATTTCAAGTTTTAAACTCCAAGTATGATACCAAATCACATCCATTCATTCTCAAGATCAAAGGGCATAATGTAGTAGAGAGAGAAGCAATGTTGGAGAAGTCACTAGGCGGCACCTAGACGATGAGGGGACTAGGCCGCCTAGGCGCCCATCTGATCACTGAAATGTCATAATTTTTTTTCAGGGTTTGGTTAAATACCAAACCCTCCTGCAGATGAATTAAAATAGCTAATTTACAAAAACAAATGCATCCAATGTTTCATAAAATCATAAAAATAGTAAATTTCCAAGTCTTCAAACAAAAAGCAACAAATATTTCAAACAAGCACAATGAACTCATAATTCATAAGGGAAACTGAGTTTCATCAATCATTAATGCTAGCTATATCACGGCCCTTTCCACTACCAGATGCATTTGAAGTTGATGATGGCTCCAGTCCGTCATCATCAAAGTCATCACCTCCCTCCAAATATTGCTCATCTTCATGTATCTTCTAAATCCACCTCTTCCTCATCTAATATTCTCGTCATCCTCTTCCATCTTGTTTGTGATCTAGTGGCTCGTGAAGGGCTTTGGGGTAAACCTGCAGCTTTTGAACTTGGCTCCAGGTTAATTCTTCTCCAGGGGAGACTCCTTTATCACCATCATTGTCAACCACCCACTCACCGGTATCATCCATGTTGTTCAGCACAATAGGGTCAATTTCATATCTCTCCATGTAACGCTCCTTCGGCTTTGGTTGAATTGCACATACACAAGGTTATTCATATTTTTATAATCGAAATTTGTTAAAAAACATCAAAACCATACTAATCCACATTTTAAAGATGAAATGAACCACAAATACCACAAACAAAAAAGAAAAAAAATATATGTATAAATAGCTCCTAAAACCCTAATCCAAAACGTGAAAATCTCTACCTCTAAAACAGAATCCCTCAAGCTTTGAAAGGGTGAGCTTTGGTGGCAAAAAACCTCTTCTCGCAACTACTTCAAGCCACGAAAAGGATGGCGCAAATGCCTTTCGATTTGGCATGAAATTGAAAATTTTATATTTTTGTTCTATTTTCGATTTCAAACAAAAAATCCAGATTTGGGAATTTTTTTGGCTCGAAATTCGTTCTCCAAGGGTTTGGGGCATTAAAATGAACCCTCCAATGTCTTCATACGAAGAAAAGAGGGGCAAAAATTCCAAAAATGCTCCACTCGAGGGGCATCTTCGCCCCACTTTCCGTCATTTTGTTGCAAGCTGCCTAGGCGCCCGCCTTGTGGCACGACCCCCAACCCACACACTTGGCCTAAGGGATGCCCCCAGGGCCTCCAGCCACCTATGTGCTCGAGCAGGCAAATTTCTCAATTGGAGGGATGCAACCATAGGTAGAGCGTTCCACCCTCTTATATTCTCTCTTTCTTACTATATTTCTAACTGAAATTGTCTTTATGGAACCTTCACATAATTAGCCAGCCGCACACATGCTGTGTCATAACGCACGTGTTAGTCATAAGACACATGTAAACTTCCATTTGTCCAATCAAACTTTCCCACAGAAAAACAAACTTTTAGATCTAGGTTTTAATTGGACAAAGAGTCATAAATTAAGGGAAATATATTGATCCCACATGGCAGGCCACAAGTGTGCCAAAATACACACCACGTACATAATACACATAACAATATCTTGAATAACTCCACAACCAAACATGGCCATAAGGGCACAATACCCTAGGGCAGCCCGCATCACCCAAATGTCACCTGCGTGTGGCGACATGGCAGCCATGTGGCACCTATTGGACACTTGGGAGCAAAATAGGCAACGTGTGGCTGTCCTTAATAGTCATTATGCCCAAAAAATTTGAAATTCTCAGTTTTTGCTTAGAGAAAATTCTCAGAAAATCCAAAAAATCATTTTCAATTATGCTCTATCATGTTGAATCAATTTGGCATCCCAGAAAAATATATGTGATGGAATTTAGGATCTTGTAAGAAATGAAATAGGGCACTAGGGCTCCACTCAGCTAGACTCACAAAATACTCAACAAATGCTCGTAAGTACTCGTGCTCACATAAAAACTCAGGAATAAACAAAAATACTCCAAAGTTACTCATGGCCTGGTTTACAAAATTATAAGCTATACAAATACCAACCTTAACTAGAGAAAAACCTCAAACTCTCGGCCCAAAAGCCCTTTAAGCACTTAGCCCCCATGCTTCAGTGTTTTATTTCTCTCCAAATCCCAAATTATCAAGATTTGGTGAGACAAACATATTGGTTCACTCCCACTAGACTAGGAACCATCACAAAGTGTTGTGGTCAAGGCCGTGAAAGGGCATAATTCCAACAAACAAGTCCCGAGAGAGGTCCCGTAGAATCTCCAACTAAAATCCTTGGAAAACCATTCCACGTATAAAATTCAAATTAATATTAAATTAACCGAACAAACCAATTGGTATTTAGCACAGACTACCAAGTCGTTGCATGCATAGGATAGCTTATGAGATAACCAATACTACTATTGAAAGGTGGACTATGTGATCAAGCAAGTCAATACCGATTAAAAAAAAATTTATCTTTTCTTTTATATTGCCACCCAAATCACTCACAAGTGTTTAAATACAATATATATGAAATAAAAAAAAATATCCAGAGAGGTCCAAAAATTTATTTTTAATTATCTAAAAATAATTAAAACATATCCAAAGAGATTTGATGGAAATAGGATCTATAGAATTATGATTACAACAAATATACTGAGGACTCCATTCTTTCTAAAGACCGTATCTCACTGCACCTCAAACTGACCCAATAGTTCCCATGACTCACAGCCTTTCGAAGGGGTTCATAATTGGACTATCAAAGTCAGCCAATAAGTGAAGGAGACACGATCCTAGTCCATGGATTACAGGTCCTTCCCTGAGGACAAGTCTAGGCCCCATTTCAGCACTATGCTTTATAAGTCCTTCCAACACAGTCCAGTGTTGCAGGGAGTCATCTCTTCCGCACATGTACATGTCGTACGCCCTTACTAAAAAGGGTCGCTTCTCAGACGGCTATCTAGTGTACACGTTGGGTGATGATAATGATGACGATTTAGATCCTTGTCCTCTCCGACCATCCATCACACACAGGGATCTCATCGAGTCCCCTGACCTAACTATCCTAGGCACAACTCCGACATCATCAAGGGATAACCCCACATCAAAAACCCTCATCGGTTGTGTCTTACATAATGCCCAGGACTACAGGTTTTAGGCATCACCTATGAGCCATAGCCAGTCAAAGCTCATATGAGTCATGGCATTAGCAGTGCCTAATAGTCCAAAGTGGATCACACTCCCACTGGAGCCA